AGCTAACGTACTATACATAGTAAAATAGGATTTCCATCACCCGATATATTTTTGACAAATCAGAACACCGGATTTTCGATCGACGGGCTCCGTCATTGTAAATAAATATAGCAGACTGCAAGCCTGAGGCTTGATTTGAGAGTGTCATTCATGACGTATTAATAAAGATTATGTTGGCCAAGGATAGCAACAACACAAAACTTGCAACATAAATATCGGTGAGGGTTTAAAAGTGGTTCATGCAGTGTCATAAAGCCATCACATGGATAATGTTTATATAAGGTGTGCAATATTACTCCCGAAATGACGTCACAATCGAATAGGAGCAATCAATGTGACGTCACGTCATTGTGAAGCGGACGCAATTTCCATTGTTTCAGAGGCGGCCAAGCGCAAACTATTCGGATCACAATTATTCTGTCTTTGCGTATTCTCTTATGAGCAGGTATTGATTGTTACGTCATTGGTTTGTGTGAGAAAATTACGTCGTTGTCTAAAAAATTGTTGACGTTACTCTCACAATCAAATGAAGTAACAATCAATACCTGCAATACGCAAAGACGGAATACAGTTCACTTTGTATTATATGATAACAAGAATCTGTCAACCGTTTCCTTTCATATTAGATTTATGATACCCAGAGGCTCGCAAACATGAAAAATCCAAAACTTCATAAATATCATAAATCTAATATGAAGGGAAATTTATGACAGATCATCTATATACAGTTGTGTGACCGCTCCATTGTGCGCTTTTTTCCGCACAACTGTGCGATTAGGTACAATTTGTTGATCAATATTACGAAATGAACTAAATACGGAAAGCTCGTATGCAATAATGTACATGTACACTGTATATATTACTGTGATTTCTCATCACAATAACTAAGATTATGTACAAGTTTACAGGTCGTGTTACACAGTATTACAGTGAGCGTTAGACTGTCAAGAATGGGTTTGGCTCCTAGGTAACAGAACAGGTAAATAACATTTTGAAGAGTGACCGGAGTTTTACCTGGCCTGTGCCTGACACATATAGCTGATGTGTGAAACCGTATGACCGTTATGAAAACACAACTGGCCAATTAGTATTTGTTATTTGCATTCGGTTTGGCTTATAGATCCCCTTCACCTGGATTTTCACACCCCGATGAGTTACGTAAGTGCCCCAGACGGGGACAAGTACGGTCAATTCAATTCAATTAGTTTATTCTGTAAGCCTTACGACTTATAAGATACAAAACACAATATTAATACATATTACCAGGTTAGGGTTAAAACAGAGTAATGATGTACATGAGAGTGATAATCGTAATCGTATCACATACACACACACACGAGAATGTGATAATACTATAATGACTGAGAGCGCTTCTTAAAAGCAAATATTATATATTTACCAAGATTACACAAATCTTTTACATCATTAGCACTGAGCAATTGAACAAGTTTAAATACACTTGGCTGGACGACTAAAATAATATGGCTTCAGGTATCTCACCCATAAATCTGCATAAATAGGACACTTAAGGATGAAGTGAAACTCATCCTCCATATCATGAGTATGACATAATGAACAAACTCAATTGGACCTAGCTAAATTATTGTATCTTCCACTTTCAATATTGAGCCTGTGTGAGCTTAAGCGAATACATGAAATACTGTTCTTATACAACTGATCAATAGGTTTTTTCAGGTAGTATTGCAGACCAAAATTATTTACTAAATGCTAATGCAATGTTCCTTTTGGGGAATTCTGTATTTTAGACAAAATTTCTTGCACATGTATATCATAAAATTTGTGCTCTATTAACTTGTACACAATCTTACTTTCATAGTAGTTATTCCATAAATACCCTTATCCTAACTTATTCAATTCTGATTGTATATTTATAATCCAATCATCATTATCTAATATTCTCTGTTCGTAACATGCTTTCAATATACAATTGTCTGTTTCTTTCACTTTAACCCAGTATTTTAATATTTTCATTTTCCGAACAATACACATTGGAAGTCTACCTAATTCGTAATATACAAGGTCATTACATGTATTTTTACCTACACCTAGTGTTTTTTTTACAGAAATATGTATGAACTTTCAACTTCTAAAGCTCTGTGAAAACCCCATATTTCACTTGCAAACCCCAATACACTGCTTACATTAGTGTCGAATAAAGAACATAATGTTTCAGTATTAAATTCATGGTTCTTTGATTTGCTTGATAATGCAAAATAGGCTTTCCTTCCCTTTTCTGCTGCATGTTGCTGAGTTTCATTGAATTTTCCGTTAAAATTAAAAAGCATACCTAGAAAATTGAATTCATTAACAACTTCTACTTCGCTATTGTCATAAAACCATCTTTCGTCCTGTTTTACAATACCACCATTCCTGAAAACGACAATTTTAGTTTTATCTGTATTAAGTGTAAGCTTCCATTCATTATTATACAAACATAAAGCATCTAACATAGATTGTAGAGCATGCGGTGTTTCTGCAATAAGAACTGTGTCGTCTGCGTACATAAGTAAAAATAAGGATATCATACCAATTTCAACTGGTTGACAATTTTCTCTAATAAAATTCATTTCACAGTCATAGACAAATAAACTGTATACAATTGGTGAGAGAACTTCTCCTTGGAAGAGACCGATTCTGCTCGAAAAATATTCTGAAATACGACAGTTGTATTTAACACAGGATTTAACATTTTTGTACAGGGATTGTATAATCTTTAACAATTTACCTTGAACTCCATGTTTAATGAGTTTACACCACAATTTCCCTCTATCAATAAGGTCAAAAGCCTTTTTGTAATCTACAAAGCAACAATACAACATTTTTTACTTAGAGATCTATAAATTAATGACTGAAGTACGAATATAGCATCTACAGTTGAGTGACCAGCTTTAAAACCAAACTGGGCATCAGTAAGAATTTAATTTTCTTTGTCCCACTGTTTAAGTCTTCTGTTAAAAACTGCAGTAAAAAGTTTGCCCATACAACTGACAAGAGTAATTCCTCTATAATTACCAACATAATTAATATCACCTTTTTTTTTGTATTGGGACAATGCAACAACGTGACCACACTTCCGGAAAAAGACCCGATTCAAATATTCGTCTGAAAAGCTTCGTTATACAAGGGGTTAAAATGTCTTCACAACCTACGAAAAGTTCATTTAAGATTAAATCTTCACTACAGCTTTTATCTCTTTTCAAATTTCTAATTTCGATATGTACCTCATCTTCTGTAAATGGTTTATCCAATTCTTCAAATATTGTTAAATCTATGTCATCATAAAAGTCCTGAGTAGTAGCATCAATATCACAAGTGTTACTACTAACACTTTAAAATATTCTAAAAAACATAGATATTAATTTGTGGTTGAGATACATTATTTTTACGTTTTGAAAAATATTTATAAAACTTCTTCGGATTGTTCTTTCTAAGAAACTCAACCATATCACCTCCTTGTCGTTTATATTGTCGTTTGAGTCTATATTCCAACTTTTGTTAGCCCGTTTTTTACTTATTAGAACAGCATGATTCTCACAGGATTAAGAAACATTAAAATTCAAGAATGTATTTTTATACTCATTATATCTCATTTTACGTTCATCAGTAAACCACGGTTTGTCCTCTTTCTCCACCTGATGTTGACGGGGATAGTGTGATGTACTTTTAGCAATTTTGACGTCACAGTTAGGTAAAACTACGTCATTTATATCACCACAAAATTGTGCTACACATCTATCAAGTTCTTCATGAGTACCCAAAGGCATATCACATATATCAAGGAGTTCTTCAACTATTAAATTAAGACCATTACATATTTTATCTACATCATCTCTGTTCCACCTTACATTTTAAAATGTCTAACATGTACATGAAGCACCGTTATGGTCATCAGTAATATTATTGCTATATGTACTGATATTGAAGGAGAAATACAATGGTGAATGGTCAGAAAGAGTATTGAACTCGCCCGTACCAAAGTTTATAACATTAGAAATATAATCACAATCAACTAATAAGTAATCAATCAGGCTTGTGCCGTTGTTACTACAAAATGTAAGACTTTGTCACCTGTATGACGACCATTAACTATACGCATGCTCGTATTTTTACACTATGAAACTAGTTTTCTGCCATAAGTATTCACATATTTATCCATGTTACTACGATTCTGAATATTTGAATCATTACTGTAATACATAAAATCTAACGTATCATTATTGAGGCCATCATTTACTATGAAATCCGGTCTAGTTCCTGTTCTAGCATTAAAGTCGCCGGTAACATATAGATTTCCATTTGTTTTTTAACGGCTAATTGACTCTTCAAGAGTAATAAAAATTATCATAAAAAACACTATTTTCTGGCGGGAAATAGCAAAAACACAAAAATACAGACTTTTCATCATAGCTAAGTTTTACCCAAAATATACAATCCACAATATTTTCAACTAAACAAAACACATTTTTTAAATAGCTCTTGTGTAAAATTACAACTCCGCCTCCTTTCCCAGTAGGTCTAGGGAAAACGTATGTACAGTACCCATCTAGCTCAATAACATCAGTATTTGTAATCCAGCATTCGGTAATACAAACAATATCATATTTATAAATTATGTCTACATAGTTTCCATCAGTAAGTTTGTTGACTAGCCCTTTGCCAATATTCCATGACAGAACTGAAAGTTCACTCTCCTTTCTGTCCTACCTATGCTCCTTGGGTAAATAGGATCTGTCAGAGGTACTAGAAGGAACATAAGGCTCACTTGCCCTCCGTTCCACAACTGGTTGCCCAGGAATACTAGGAGGCACACACGATTGCCCTGGCTGGGCCCGAGCGAGGTTACCCTCATTGGCCATCCGTTCCTCAACTGGTTGCCCAGGAGTAATAGGAGGCACACGCGACTGCCCTGGCTGGGCCCGAACGAGGTTACCCTCATTGGCCATCCGTTCCGCAACTGGTTGCCCAGGAGTACTAGGAAAATGGCGGGACTGTTCATTGCCCCCAATACCCCGCCCTCATTTCCTCAACTGGTCGCAGTGGACGGCCAGGAGTACTACGAGGGCTAGTATGTTCACGTTCAGATGAGAAACGTGGTCGAGAGGATGAGGGAGCAGTGTTGTGTCCGGGTTCCTGGCCAGAGGGGGAGGAATGAACACGTGGTCGTTTTACTGATCTTCGACCATTATTGGATGTCTGGACAACTTCACTGAATGACTTAGTTGACCTAGTCTCTTGTCCATTATACAGCTGACCATTGATGTATAGTTTATCCCTCACAAGCTTGACTTGATCTCCTGCCCTCTTATGTGATCTTAGAATGGGATACAACTCTCTTCATCGTTCTTCCACGGCAATGGCAAACTGTTTGTTGTTTCAAAAGTGTGTCCCTTTAAGATAATGTGCATTATTCCGAACCGACTGTAGGTCTTTTTGGAACATAAACACTGCTACGATTGGTCGCGCTTTCCCAAATACTTGCTTGCCAAATCGATGGACATTGGTGAACTCAATGTTATTGTTGATACACAACTCATAGTATATCAAGTATTTCAGTCTACTTTCGGTATCTTCATGTGAGTGTTTCCCCAGTCCATGGAATATCAGGTTCCTTTTCATTGACCTGCACTGTATGTCCTCTAATGTATCAAATATTGCCTTCTGGTTATCTTGAGACCTCATCAGCACAGTCTCTATCTGTTTGGTGTTGGAGTCAACCTTCTCTACCGTTTTTTCATCTTTGTCATATCTAATTTTGTTTTGCTGGTTTCCACTTTCATATCATCATATAGTCCACTGATCATTGCAGCACTCCTTTCAAATTCAATGTTTTTCTCTTTAACTTTATGGATTTCATTTTCCAGGAATCGCACTCGGTTATTTAATGATTGCAAGGACTTTTGAACATCATCAATTTTTTGGACCTGCTGTTCAATTGAATTCAATCTTAAATCCAGCTTGCCAACTAACGCTAAAAGTGCTGTAAGTGAACTAGCGATTCCACTCTCACCGGTGGGAGATTGATTATCTTCGTGTAGACTTCCCGTGCACTTGCTAGCATTGTGGAAGTTTCAGTCATATTAACTTTATAAATCCAGTTGAAATAATTAACTGTAGGTTAAGTTCACCACTACACCACATAGGTAAGCAGGCAAGTACGTACATTGTAGGTAAGTACCACTGATCACTTGTCAACTCTACAGGTAAATCCCATTGTCCGTATATTTTATGTAGGTTGTCCTTCAAAAGTCATTTATTGCATTAGACATGTGTAAGGTTATTTGCAGGAAATCTCTGAGTAGTCTAAAACACGTCTGTCCTCTCCTGTACACTACTCTCACTTCAAGGTCAAGGTTCATGTACAAACTGGCTACATGGTATGTTTACCTGTATACGGTAACTGTGCTATAATTTTACATGTCGATTAAGGTCGTTCAAAAAACACCGAAAACACCATTTCTAAATTCAGGAAAGTGTATAGAGAAAATATAAAGATAAGGTCATAAGTGCAGCTAGTATATATATATAGCACATACTTAAAAATCAAGTTTATATGTTTAAACACGAAAGCGTATATATTGTTAAAGCAATCCTCATTTTACACCAACCACGATTGTTTTCACATAACGTTTGTCCATCGTGCGCACAAATGTGCGCAAGTAATGATCGTCCAAATTTTCATCGTTCGCACATCGGGCACACATCGTTCACACACCGTGCGCCCTCCGCACATCGTGTAACGTTGTGCGATCCCACAACTGTATGAAGAGTTATTGACTAAAAATCTTACAACAACAATTTTATGCTTATTTTAGGAATAAATGATTTTGTTAAAATAATGCGTGTGTAATATTACAGTTGGAGGTTGTCAACCTCAAGTTGATATTATTTAAAACAAATGGCTGTTGTATGATTGGCTTGGTTTTATTTTATTTTGTTTAACGTTCTATTAACAGCTTGTTTCCATTACCCTAAATGCTGAACGTTAAAAAGGGAATAATAATTATCATTTTCAAAGACTTTGGTATATCCTGGCCCGACGACAAAACACATTGCTTTCCTCAACTGGGCGAACGTTCAACATTTAAGCCAGAAGTGTTGGTGTTGCCAAGCAAGTCGCTAGGAAATAGAAGGTAGATAGAAGTAGAAAGAGATATAGATATCAGATATTGCAAGAGGTGCAGGAGATTTATTTTGTGTCGTTTTTGTATCCCCAAGTAGAGGCCACAAAATCAAATCCACAATCCTACAGGGTGTTCCCACATTAGTCGCCTCCCACTATACATGCCGTGGGTAACAGTAGGTTCCTTTTTTTCCCGATCCCCCACCTGCAGGGGTGTTACACTATATTAGGGTAGCCTGTGTATACCCGATCCCCGAGAAACAGGGGCAAGTCTGTTGTGTGACCCGTCAGTTTATGGTATACATGTGGGTTTTTTCATACAATAAAGCAATGGAATTAAACTAGGGTAATGCAATGGTTCTGTTATCATTCACAAAAATATACCCACTGTTTTTTTGGTCCTCGGGGAATTTTACCTTTTTCGGATCGACAAATTATCGTACATGTTGCATTTACCTAGAAAGAGACAGTTATTATATAATAAAGTTAACATCATTCAGTGAGATTTGTTAAATTCCGTCAGATTAAAAAAAATACAACTCGTGGCTTTTGGAAATATAATAAACTCTTTTTGATTTAGAAAGCTTGTGGTACGTTCCGAATTTTTGAGAGTGAATTATCAATTTCCCACGGCCAAATCCTCTAGCTGAATGACGAATTGATATCAATGATAAATTCATTGCCAATCGTTTGCATAAAAGTGACTGGCAAATTGCTTTGTCCAACATGCAATAAATTAAATGGAAATACGAAATTGTTTACGAACCATTCAATAATGTAAAAGGCATGGTAAACGGTTCTTTCCACCATTTAATACTACATATTCTAATACGGAATTGATTTGTGAACCACTCCTAGTAGGCGATGATGTATAACGTCATCTCTGCTACATCACTACTCCGAGTTACATTAACCTTGTAACGGTTTCAATCCTGAAACCGTCAGACCCAGATAACGATAAAATTATTACAAAAGCGATGGTTTTAATGGACAAATAGATTAATAAAATAATGGTGCATCGATTTATCTCTATTCAAGGTTTGTGTGGGTACTATAGACAGTAGTTAATGTTATATATTTATCTTTGTGCTTCTATTTAGAAATCAAACGACTTCGAAAAACGATATCAGATCCCTCTTGATTTGATACATGTATTCATCAGAAACCGTTTTTTTTTATTTTGCTCCAAGGCAAATCGCTAAACGAACACTAGAACTACCTTAATTTCAAAAGGCAATTGAATGGATAACAGACGTAACCCAATGTATAACATAGCTTTCCCATTTTACTACGTCATACGACCATGTCATAAATATGGTATTACACATGCTTAATACAACCTTCATAGCTGCGATTGGTCAAAACCATGGGAACATGCTGTCATGTAAGATGAACTCGAAATGTTAAAATTTTGTCATTATTCTTTTCTTTGCATTTAAACTGTGATGCTATTAAATTGCATTTAAAACATTTACAAACAATACGAAACTACTTTGCACCATACGGAACGACAATTCTAAGATCAGAGCAGTGTGATAGGGTTGTTTTATGTGATAATTAGAATCTTATACTTGTGTTCTTGTTGTATTGAATTTATTAAACTCGTTCAACAATTTGATATAACACTTGCCTAAATGCTCGTGTCAAATCAAATTATTGAACTCGTTTAATAAATTCAATATGACATGGATACTCATGTAAGATCCCCTATACCTGACACAATGTTGTATTTCCTGACTTTACACAGTATTGCAGTATTTAATTGGAAATAAGGATAGTCATAATACATGTTTGTGATTATAATCTTAACTCAACATGACGTAACACGGCATGGCACAATAGACGTATTCATTTTGTAGTATTATCTTCACAATCATGTGGCAATAATGATATGTAAAGATCGCATCCAGGGAATATTAACCTTTAAACATTTTTTTTTACTGAAGGAGGGATGAAACTGCTGTTTTATGTTTGTGTTAAATGTTATGTTTTGAAAATATGCTATCTATTTTAAAAAAATCGTTTTTACTAAACACACAGTTTCATTTTCTCCTTAAACTTTTCTGTGAGTTCGGGAAGCAGAGATGTTGCTATCAAATTATCAAGAAAGGGAAACTTCACGATTAGAAAATTTGAAATCGTCACGCTAATCGTACAGCAGTGTAGTCAGCTGTCCCTATTGTAAGTAAGGATCGAGGTTAGTTACTGATGTAAAATAGTCTAGTGTCCTTAAGTTTAGGTTCTCCAGGGTACATGTTAATACGACCAAGGCGGTCAGGCATGTTCTTGTTGTCTGTAATCAGCCCATCATCGATATATAACAAAATGAAATTTAAGGACTAGGCAATGACTTGGCAAGATAAAGCTCTTTCTTATCCTAAGGCTCATTGCAGTAAAGACGATTATCATACTGACAACTTTCTTATTTTGCATTTGTTAATTAAGTAATTTTGAACATAATCTTCAAAGCAAATGAAGTCATCCTCTGAGTTGAATGTGGCAGTCAAACCGATAACAGAATATATTTGATGCGCTGGTGATTGTGTTTTCTATGGTTATTATAATAATCTGTCAGATAAGTAAATACATGTAATTACTGCGGCATTACTATTATAGCTGTTCTTCTATGGTTCACAACATTAAATAAGACATAACAGACGTGTTCCTTGTCATCCATACATCTCTTAAATGTCTGTAATTCTACAGTAAACCTAAAACCTAAGTGCCCTTATGTCGTCCCTTAATTAACCATAAAATCTAATTTATTCTATTTTCAAACAATTACAAGAAAATGATCCTCATCTGTCCATGCTTATTAAATCCTGAAGGTTTACTGTCGAATTAACTCCATTTAAAACACAGTATAACACACCGGTTGTATTTTACGATAGAAAACAGCGGGTGCATCAAGTCTTTACAGATCTATATTGAAACTGGATCTTTTT